CGTGGGTAGCGCATTCCATAGAATCACAGATTGTATGAAATATGAAGAATGAAGAAAATCAGAGCGATGACTAAGACATTGAAGATGACGATTGTTGGAAGATCGAAGATATTTATTGTGGTTTGCACTGGTGTATTGAAAGTAGGTGGATAGATAGCTAGGAGAAAAGGGGGAGTCAAGAAAGGAGTACAAAGTGGTTAGAGCCCTTTGCTCCCTGCGTTGGCGTATGGGCAACCACTTTAATTGCAGCTGATGTGCAGAAACATGATCATATTTACGCAGGTTGAAAACGAATCGAATGCAGTTATTTAAAAGTCGGTCAAGCTTATTGAGTAGATCTGCATTCAGGTCGTAGTAACAAACATCACCATAGTCAATAATGGGGAATATCAATGATTGCACAAGCATCGCCTTCACGTAGGACGGGAGAAAATTTTTGAGGCGATACAGAGACCGTAACGACCCCGTGACTTTTTTGCATACGTTAGTGACCTGCGCCCGCCAACTGAGGGTGCTATCGATGTGCAGACCGAGATCTTTCACATCGTCGCTGTAAGGAATGACAGCACCGTCAAATAGTACAGGGGGAAGGATACGTTTATTGATTTTGGACAGCATCCGTGAGCTGCCGATGACTATCGCCTGGCATTTGTTTGGATTAACGGCTATCCCAAACCTATCGGACCAATTTTTGATGGCCTCAAGATCCACATTAAGCCTATCAATTGCATCCGCTAAATTTTCCTTGCTGGCTTGACAGTACAATTGCAAGTCATCAGCGTACAGATGATACGCACATTGAAACTCAGTACTAAGGAGATTGATGAAGAGTGAAAACAAGAGAGGAGAGAGTATACCGCCTTGAGGGACGCCAGCATCCAGAGTACACCAGCCTGATGAAGCATCATCGACCTGAACCTTTTGCTGTCGCCCCTGAAGATAAGAAGAGAACCAAAGTAGAGTATCGTCGGAGACCATAAGATGAGACAGGATAGCTAGAAGGATATCGTGACTGACCATGTTGAAGGCGTTAGAGAAGTCAACCAACACCAGCACAGTGATCTTAGTATCCTCCAGACCTGTCCTCACATCGCCAGTCACTTTAAGGAGTGCGGATGTGGTGCTATGTCCGGGTCTAAACCCAGATTGAAAGGGACTAAGTAGGGAGTTCTTAAGTATAAAGCATGAGAGTTGCCTGTGTACACAAGCTTCAAGCACCTTAGAGAGAAATGGAAGAATTGAAATGGGGCGGAAGTGAGTGGGGAGAGTAGGATTGGAAACCTTAGGAAGCGGCGTAACAAAGGCCAGCCGCCACACAGAAGGAAAAGAACCGGAAAACATGGAGAAGTTTACGATGTGGGTAAGGGCTGGGCATAGGTGGTCCATGACTGTTGTGATCATGTGGCGGGAGATGTTATCACAACCAACGGCCCTGGACTTTATAGATAGGGTAATCTTTTTGATCTCCGCCGTCTCCACAGGCACAAAACGAAAGCAATCGACTTTAGGACTCTCCAGACCAGCAATGAAAGAGACAGTTCTATTTTTAGTCAGACTATCCAAAGACGGAGTGGTGGAGAAATGTTTATTGAGATCGTCTGGACTAATTGAGTTAGAAAGGTATGGATGACGCGTTCTGCCAATACCCAGGGATTTCAAAAATTTCCAAATATTGGCAGGAGAGGATGAAGAAATATTTTCAAGAATATGTCGGCGTTTGGCATTGCGTACCATCTGGTTGCAACGATTCCTTGCAATCTTGAATGCTGTCCAATTCTCCTCAGAGCGGACCCTTTTGTGTCTTCGATACGCACGGTCTCTGCGTCGCATGGCCATTTGAATGCCCTTGGTCATCCAAGGCGCAGGAGGACGTTTCACTTTCACCCTCCGAACAGGAGCATGTCGATCATACAAATCTGTCACAACTTTATTGAAAATTTCAACCTTTCCATCGACTGAAGTCGCCTGCATCAAAGGCTCCCAGTCGATATTTGTCGCATCAATGAGAAGACTCTCCACATCCATGCGCCTGAAACAGCGCCTGTACAGGAGCCTGGGCTTGATTTTGGGAGGTTTTAGGACATAGGATAGGTATACCAGGTCGTGATGAGAAAAGCCTGGGGCATCGTGTTGACCGTGGCTGGAGACGAAGGAGGAGTTGGAGGTGAGGATTAAGTCGAGCCAGGTGTCATCGCTACCCGTATTGTGATGTGTTGACTGTAGCGGCAAAACATGCAGGCTAGCTGACTCGACCAAGTCCAGGAGTTTACGGGAGCGATAGGAATTGGGGTTTAGGAGATTGGTATTAAAGTCCCCCATGACAATGTGATGTTCGTACCCCGAACCCAAAGATTCAAGTACTGATTGGAATTCAGTGAAGTAATCAAGAGTTGGAGGACAATATACTACACCCAGAATTATTTTGACCCCCTGGACACAAACCTCAAGGAATATGTACTCCGCAGGAGAGTTGCAAGAAGAAGTCAAGACAATTTTGTGGGGAAACTCGCTGCGGAGGTACATGGCCACACCACCACCCCTCCCACTCGTCCGGTCGTTCCTTATAAGAATATAACCAGACAAAGGATAGGTGGTGGAAGGCAAATGAGGCTTGAGCCAAGTTTCCGAAACCAGGACGGCATGGACATTGCTGTTGTTGAATGCTTCGTAGAGGTCATTGTAATGGCTGGGAACACTTTGAGCGTTGATATGGCAAACATTCAGCAGCTGCTTGCCTTTATCGTGAAATTGGTTATGTATAAAGTCGCCAAGAGTTTCCATAGCCGAGCAAAAACTATTGTTACTAGATGAGTCATCTTCATTGGCAGATTCAAAAATATCATAGTCAGACATCAATAACTAAATATATATAAATATGTATATATGTACTTACAACAATACAAATAAATAAACTTAAAAAAAAAATAAAGTGCAAATAATGACGAGGAAAAAAAAATAATATATAAATTAAACTAGACTGTTTCTTTTTTTTAAATCGAGTGCGCATTTCTGCACCACCCGCCAGCGTACATCAACAATAAATAGAAATCATGCAAAGGCAAAACAAAAATATAAAAAGAGGAAAAAAAAGAATAAACACAAATACTAGACCGGTTTACAACTGCATTTACCATTAAATTATATCCACACACAAAAAAAAAAAAAAACAAGAAACAAGTAAATAAAAATTGCTCTTAATGTTTGTAACAAAACAAATCTCATCACTTCTGAACGACAACACCACTAATGTTCGAAGTCAAGATGGCAAATACTGTTCACATTTCTGAACGCGCTCATTGTCTATGCTCTCATGTTGGCATGAGTGACACTTGACAGCTTTACATCTTTGACATATAAGTAAATGACAGTACTCTGTGTTTATTGTATAAAAAATATTGCCTCAGTTAAGTTATTTAAAAATGTTATCCAGATCTAATATGTCAATCAGGTGGTGAACAAAAATAAACTAGTGATACCGTCTCAAGTAATAAACATTTACATTAATACCCCAGAACGATCAGATTTAACGAGTGTTGGAAATGCTCTAAAGTACCGTCAGATTGAAAAAAAAAAGAATAAAAACTAAAATAAAAGAAGGCTGTATCTGAATAGAATCGTTCCTATAATAATTAATTTTTGGTTGGACTTCACACACTTCACAGTTTGAGGAATCTAATCGCCGGTAAGTGCAAACTGTTGCAATGGCCTATACAATTTATTAAGTGCAAGTATTGTGTTCATGGTAACAGGTTAATAGTACCTTTACTCTTTCAGATTCCCCTGGGTCCCCTTATCGCCGTTCTTGTTATCCGGCGCCCTGGGAAACTTCAAAAGCAGTGGCTTGAGCTCCTCCATGGAAGTCACCCTGTGTCGCCTGCCGTCACCAGTCTTCACATATATGATGCCGTCCAGTGTCCAGGACGACCGCATTCCGAAATGCTGGCGTGCTCTTCCAAAAACAGCCTGCCGAGCCCTGGTCAGGAATTCTTTAACTGCAAATCCAGAGCCCTTTAGCCCTGTCTTTGCTTTCCAAACCGATGCCTTGAGATCCAGACTAGCAAACCGAACAAGAATAGGCCTGTGATGGTCTTTCCGGGCAACTCCCAGTCTGTGACATGCAGTTAATGAAGTACCCGAGATATCCAGGCCCATCTTTGTCTTCATTATGTTACAGATAAGTCTTCTGCAGTCTTCCTTCTCCGATTCAACAAGGCCCTGGAATATGAGTGCCTTACGCCGATGCCTTGTCTCCGTCTCATCATTTCCTTGGGAATTTCCATTCCCTTCTTGTCTTCAAGTTGACGTGGTAGTATCCCTTCCGGGGAGCCATTTGTCACCGCACTGTGTGAGGGAAACGAGACATGTCCTGTTTGTAACGTTTTGACTCCTATTGTGATACGTGTTTCTAAGATGTATGTTGTAAGATAGATAATGTTTGTATTTTTTTTTGGTAATGGCAGAGTTGAACACATTTATTTAGTGTGGGAGAGGCATGCTCCGGCAATAATGGGCCGCCAGACCGGTGTGATACCACGGCCTCAATGAAAACCGACGTGAAACAACGTTTGCGTTGTGTTTCGCGGTGTGAGTGAGGTTACCGGAGGCCCAATTATCCCCCCCCCCCGTTTCTCACATTTCCCAATATCCCCAATCCCTGAATGCCCAACAATTCTCAAATTCCTGATTCCCAATAAGCCGGTAACGCATTTGTGTAACTTATAACATAACATAACCTTAAAACATATTTTATGACTTATGACATCAAATATCTCTACTCTTCGACTAAGCGAGACCAATCAGCAGCACTTTTTATAAACCGTTTCAACTAGGATGTCCAACCTATTTGTTAAGCATGAAGATTGTGATAGATCCCTCTTAATACCTAGAGGAGTTCTACCCACAGTCCAGCATTGGACTGCCATGAAGCAATCATTTACAAAAATGGGTATTGTTTAGATAAAATATAAATTTTATAATCAAACATTTATAAAGAAACCCACCTGTTCTACCCACACGTTCGTTGTCATGATTTGATTCTTAAGATTCTGAAACAAAAGAGAATATAATATTAGTAATTAATCATAGGTTTTGTGGGACCATAGGTCTAGGGTACAATGTGAAGCTAACGATATAATCTATTATAAACCCATCACAAACTGTTCACTCTATAAATAAGGTCCAGTAAGTACGCGAGGAGTATCTTGGCCCAATTATTCCCCTTTTCCCTTATCTCCCCAATCCCTGAATCCCCAATAATCTTCAAAGTCCTATTCTTCAAAAGCCGGGTAACGCCTCTGGTGTTCCGGGTGTCTATGGGCGGCATCAGGTGATCCGTCGTGCGCTCGTTTACCGGCTGTAGACCATGCCATCACTTTCTATGTGACGACTACAACCACTTTATGAAGAGTGTGAAATTGAAGAAGATGATAAATTACATATTTTACGTAGATTAAAAAGTATAATAATTAGGTTTCTAATTTAAACCTACCAAGTTATATGGACTTTCTAAGATTATCTAGACACCACTGATAAACGGTGAAGGAAAACATCGTGAGGAAACCTGGGCTTATAATTTCTAATTATAAGTTTGTAATAGCCAATCCGAATTGAACAAGCGTGGTGATTATTGCTCAAACCATCTCCGTGTGAGACGAGGCCTTTGGTCAGCATTGGCCACTTATAAGCTGTTGATGTGATGACTATTTTAACAAGTACCCCTTAATACGACTTTATGAAAAGGTTCCATAAAACCGCTGAGGTGAAAATTAACTACTTAGACTGTGTAAACATAAACCTCTTTAAAATTATTACACTTGAATAGTTTGGTAAGAGGATCCTAACTTTCAACGAACTTTAATCTAATTTTGTTTACTCCGTTAATTACCTTTGACGACACCGCGGCCCAATAGGAAGTGACAAGGTGGAATGAGAAATTTTCTCGTCTTAAAATTTTGGGTAAAGTTTTGACGGATATTTTCGCATCTATTATTTTTTCACAGTTAAATTATTGAGGTTAATATTGATATTGATAATGTTAAATGTAAATACTAATAGCTGTACATTTTTAATAATAGTAACTAATTAATGTTGATTGTCATCGGAGACCGCTCTCCACTAACTCTGTTATAGACTTTATTTCCAATGTATAGATACTACTTTTGTATGAAAAAAGTTTGGGAACGACATATCAACGTATATATTAGAGTGGAGAAATAGTATTAGGAACTGTGTCTCCGCCATTCGCAAAATTAATGTAATAACATAATAAAATATCTGTTATACTTAATACCAATCGTTTAAAACGTAATTATCGATATTTGCGTATAGAATTAATCAAACACATTTATTATGTCTAAAATCCTTACCATGTAAAACCAGCCGGTTATACAAAATGAAACCAGGGTTAAGTAAACGTAGATTAGTAAACTAGGTCGGCATGATCTACACTACGTCTCGTTGTAAGTAAGATGCAGATTAAAATATCATCTCAGATTAGTTCGGAGTTTGTATAACCTCTTACCGTCTTGGGGAGAATGTTAGTGGAGTTATGGAGTTTTTGATGTAGGAGTAAAATTGTGATATTATGGACAAACTATTATATAAATATTACGAGTTTCTCAAACAACGTATCATCATCGCCATCACTGCGTGCGCTACTCATGAGGAAGAGTCCCTCTGTAACTCGAAACTAGTAGAACTTTTCTCTGTATATTTACGTGAGTAACTCATTATTTTTAGTTAATTCAGCATGTCTAACGATAGTTATTATAAAAATATTATAGAATTTTTCCTATTTTCTTTCTTTTAAAAAAAAAACGTTGCCTCACATTAGGATTTTCTCCGGTGTCGTGGGTGCGTTTACAAACATACAAGTTTACATACACAATGACACCCAGACCCGAAACAACAATTTGTGGATCGCACAAAGTGTTGTTTCGTGCGGGAATCGAACCCGCGACACGTTGCACGGCAGCCGGTTGCCCAGCCACCGCACCAACCGTGCAGTCGAAACTAAGATAATTTGTATTACCTATCATTTGTTTTTTATTTTCAAAGGGCTAAGCTATAGAGGCATATACAATGTAGCTCCTACTTTATACCAGTAGTATTATAAGCCCCATGTAGTTAACTAGAATAATAGTCGATCTCAAATTTGCGTTTGCATTCAGTCATCCATAAAGGCAATAAAAAAAAGAAACAAATCATGTACTTAATCCTTCAGCCGTTATTTGACTTATAATTACTTTGACTGTAATCAGCCTTTTCAACTTCACGTTGCCGTCAAAATGATAAATTAATTTGAAAACCGAGCTCAGTATCATCATAGTATTTGCCGCAAAATGCTTAGAAGACACATACTTCTCTCAAGTTGGTAAGTACGTACATAGTTCACTAAACTTATCAATAAGATGAAGTTTGTATACATAAATCGAGTTTACATATTAATAACGTATTATTAGGGAACTTTGAACAATTTGTAAGTATATTGAAGCACTTTTTGTTCGAAGAGGTACCTGTGTTGTTTCGAAGAAGTTTTTATTTTGAAAGAATTTCGATTTATTTATTGTTTTCAATTACTTGGAGCCAGTATTTCATATAAGATAAGCACCAGCTTTAGTGTCTGGAAGTGTTCATGCTTGAAGTATATTGTCAACCCGAGTATGGTATCAATTACTACTTATGATTTTATTATCATTCTCAACAACCTTAATATCAGTCATTCTGATCAGTGTAAATGTTTAATCGACTCCTATAGAGTACCTTTCTTGCTTGGACCTTATACCGTAAAATTGGGACTTCAATTAGTAAAAAGATACAGGATTAAACTATACTTATACAGGACCGAACTTATTTCTAAATTAGTAGAGTACCTAATCTTTTACAGGGACGAGAAATATCTTTAATCCATACATAAAATGGTTCCAGAAAGACAACACAGTATATGTAAATTGGGTATGGAATCGAGAAAGTTCCACCATATTATATTCCGCCTTCGTAGTATGTGTAAATGCAAATTCATCAGACACTGAGCCAACTCACCTAACTTGAAGATATGCATGCAAGACGGGAATTAATTGAACTTGTAACAGCCAACATTGTAGATGAATAAATCTTTTGGCAAGCAAAAAGATTTTGTGTGGATATTGTAATAAAGAGATGTCATTTCATTTTGAGCGAAATTCCAGCACATGTGCTATTAAGTGACAAGTGCTCAACTGAAGCATGCTTTTGTGCTTGGAATTTGCATTTGTAACAGTACCTTTATACTTATTATATAAAGCTGGGGAGTTTGTTACAGAACTACTGGGCCGAATTCAATAATATGGTAGATGCCTAATTTTTTATTTTAATGTCCGTGTGGTAGATTATTTTAATCATTAGACATGTCTTTTGTTTTCTTACAGAAACGAATACTTTCGACGATATATTGATTTGAAATACCACGTGAAGTCACTTCTATGTACATTTTATACATAGAAATGACGTTTTAGCCCCCACTCTTGAACTTTGATTCGTTTTATCTAGGTATTGTTTTATTATACAAAGTAAAAAATATGTGTCTAATATTTGTTCATTACCTAACTTGCGGACTGATTATATTTTTAATTTTCATACCCTGTCATCATCTCAATTGTTTTTGTGTTGGGTAGTCCATTTACTGAGGAAGGATAGAGATTATAAAACAATCAATAGGAGCCAAGCAGAGCGGGTACAACCGTGTAGGAGTTTTATTATAAGTCGACATTTAGTTATTAAACTTAGCTTAGATTTCCACAATATGTATCATCATCATACGATTAAACAAAGAAGTTACTTAGAAGAAGAAGTTAGAAGTAAGATAAGAAGGTATTATGAAAAAATATAATTTATGATAGAAATCATAAATAGGAATAGTAAAGTAAGAAATAATATAAAACTAAAAAATAGTAACCAATTAACTCCAACAATGGCACAGTAATTAAACTCAGATTATTATTAGCAGTTTCACCATTAACTCATTACTATCACAAAGCTAAACCTTAACTAAACCCAGTTTAAAAAATGAAGTGTAATTTTTTCACAGCACACGAGTGTGACGGAAAATTTTGACGTCAAGTTGAACTTGTTTAATACGATAATACCGAGTTTTAAGTACACTTAACTGTGCACTAACAATAACCGAACAAAGTTAGACGTCCGTTGCACCTGGATTTCCATTATTTGTGCTATGCAGTGCATTGTTCTCATACATTTACTTTTTTGTGGATTATAAATGTGGAAGTTTGTGAGGCTGTGTGGATTTATATACTAAATAGATCTCAATAATATTTGGCACAGGAATAGATAGATAGAACGGAATTAGCCGTAACTAGTAACTTTAGGCGTCGAAAACACAGATAAGTACCTGATTTCAAAAAAATATTTTACGTAATTAAATGAATATCTGTTCGACATTCCTTAAAAATGACAAGATTTAACTTATGGTGTAATCAGCAATTGCTAAAATGCAGTTTCAAACCATACTTTTAAATTTCAAAATTGCTGGTTCCATTTCATGGAATATTTTAAAGGTAGTACTTGTGAAGTGTGCTTACTCTTTACATTATTCAGGTACAGTGTGAAACACAGGTTCTACACCAAGTTTCATTGTTCGGTGCACTTCGGAAACTTTGGGATTCCTTTTAAATTTAATTACCCGGTTGTTGGGCATCAGATAAAATTGCATTCCTTTCAGTTCCACCGTTCGGGTTCGACTAAAGAATCCGAATTATTTTTGCTCATTTGTTCGTGGGTTGCTTATATGGGTTGGGTGTGATTTTCTTATTTTTCTTCTATATTTTTTGTTATTTTGTTACATTTTACGAATGTTTTGTATGTAGTTTCTGATTTTACGGTTTATTTTGATCAAACGTTTATTTTGTATTCCATAGTCATATTCGCCGAAATGATAGTCGATCACTGATCGTCGTATTATCGTAATCGTAAAAACAACCGGACAATTGCTTTAATAATCCAGTGATCGACGCGAGGGCTGTAGATTATTACTAGGAATTATTCTAATTAA